GCTTTCGTGGGTAAGAACCTCACTTCTTCAGATGCAAGGCAGAAGCTTCGTTATGCAATCATAACGAAGCTTACCTCCCTTGCATCTGAAGAAGTGAGGTTCTTACCCACGAAAGCTTATGCTCCCAATACCTCTGTTAGTCTTAAAGGTGCCACAGGACCCTCTGTTGCTATTTTCGTTCTCAGTGACCCAGAATTAGTAAAGTTTGACTACATTTATTTCAGAAGCATTTTGGCTGTAGAGCAGTGTAATCAGAGGCGGGAGTCATCTCATCCCCCCCAATGGTTAGAGAGTAGGAGACAGCTGCTCTTCTTTGCTCACTTCTAGATACTTTGGGCTGGGAGCATGGCTGGTGTAGAGCCCTTGCACCAGCAAAACACTGTGAATGGGACATTCTCAGGGAGCTGTTTCTGCCCCTTTAAGGCCTTAATGCATCAAGCCCTTTATTTTTTTTCTCACTTCATAAGTGGTCTCTAGTCAATCTTTGTCAGTCTCTTTCTAGCCACCCACAGAGGAGTAGGTGTCTACTGGAACTCTCAAGATCTGCACTGCAGCAAATGGAGAAACTGACTCTATTAAGGGTGTACGTCATTGAAAGCTAATTCACATAAACTCTCCTCTTCTCCCTCACGCATCTTCACAACCGCTGCTGAGGAGCTCAGTGTGTTCATTTTGGTTTCTGCAGCAGATTGCCCTTCCTTCTGAACAGGTCACCATCAAGCGAAGCAAGCATCCAAGGTCAAGAGGCTATAAATGTGCTTCACTGAACTCCTTAGCTCTTACAGGATTGCCTGAGCACTATGTCAACACAACAGTCACATATATGCTGCTACTACTAATTTATCTGTGAGCTCAGGGGAGCATCTGCGTCATAGTAAAACCATCACATTCCACATACTTCACTTCAGACAGAACAGATCTCTCGCCATCAGAACACTGGGACCGCCGGTACTGCCGGTAGCTTCGGGGGGAATGTGAATGTCTAATGCGGATTGGGTCACCTTGAGTCCTAAATGAGAAACAAAATTCATAGTAGCAAATTAATACATCTGAGACTTTGCGCTGGAAAAGGAAATTTAATTTTGAATTGTAAAATCCTTCCTTTTCCTATTAAGAATAACATATGGCTTCCTGTGCTCACTGAATTCAAAGGACTGGCCCTTTCGTTATGTGTTTGTACTTCAAACTTTACATTTAAAGTTGCACAGTTCATTCTAAATGATACTGTCGTGTGTATGTTGGAGAATGAAATTGTTCAATAAAAAAATGGAAAAAAAAAATCCATTCTGTGGAATTTTACCATCACTGTGTTTTTTGCTCAAGGGTGAAGCAGAAGCACATTGTAAAGCAAACTGGGATTTCACTCCTGTCAGAAGCAGTTGACCACACCATTATACAGCCTCCCAGATGGCCAGTCGTCAGAGTGAAATGGAGGTCTGCTCTGAAGGGACCTCTGATGCATTGGCAGCTGCCCGTGATAAGCAGGGGAAGAGAGGTCACATAGGTCAAGCAGCGACTTTAAAGAATCCAAATAGAAAGGTAAATTTAAAAAAAATGGAAAAGTTTCGAAAATAAATTGTGAGTGTAATGTGAAGAACAAATGCTGACAGATGGCAGAGTAGGAGAGGATGTTGATTTTGTTAGCATTTAGGTAAAGGGAAAGTACCTGGTTTAAAAATGATTCAAGTGTCTCTACCCTCCCTATTTGACCTACTCCATTCTGGATCAACATTTTCTAAGGAGTTCAAAAGATCAGAGATTATCGGGAGGCCATTCTAGTCTCAGACAAGCTATTCCACAGTGAGAGCCTCTGATGAAAGGGATATTAGGCTATTAAGCATACATACAGAAAAAAATCCATATTTCATAATGAATAAACTCACTCTATTTTGGTGTACGGAATCTCTTTCAGCTGCTCCTCAGACAGCCCAGATGGATCCACAAGTTCCTTCCTGGAAAGGATTATACAAGGAAGATGAAATTCTGGAAGCTACCAAATCCATAACAAACAATTTATTCCTTCATTTTATTAGACCACAAAGATTTTCTGGAACCAGCTGTGTTCAGCATTAAAGCTTTCTAGATGTCAACATAGGAAACCTCTTTAGAAGTGTAACTAAAATCTTGATCACTTCCCCTGTGTGTTGTACCCTATTTCCCTATCTGTTCTAGTCTTTTCAGACTCTATGATCTGTGGCACAGGCACCATATCTTCATACATGCCCACAACTAGTAGAAGAGGGGCCCTGATCCTAACTGGTGCTGTAGTGAAAAATAAATAATCAAAATAAGAACATTTTGGAGTCTAGATAAGAACACACCTTCAATGTACTAGACAATAGATAGACATCATAGATGGACAGAAAGGAAAAAAATATAAAGTTTTCTAAAAGGCAGTGGGCTTGATTCTTCTCTGCCCTGAGCAGAGTGGATATAGCACATTACCAAATCAGAATGGTAGTGTTTTATATCCACACTGCATGACATAACTGACTAAACAAGGTGCAGAGCAGTAGTGCATCTGGCCCAATGGCTGTCCTTCCTAAATAGAGGCACCCTATACTGTACCTCCAAGTGTCACTAGTTCCAGCCATGTCCTGTATTACTACTGTGTATTACATCCAAATGCTGAACATTCCTAAAGGCTAATTTCATTCTAGCCTCATTTTACCCACATGTTGGTTTTATAATTTATATAAAGGAACTAAAAGTTTCAAAGTAACAATACTTACTGAATATGTTTCCATAACTCTTCCTTTGCTTGTACATCAGGGCTTCTCCTATAAACACCAACACACACACAAAAGAGAGTCAGATCTATGAAAATGTCATATTAGCTGATGTGTTGCAGCACAGTGATGACCTTTAGTGGCACAAATCAAGGACAGAAATCATGCCAAGTGTAATCTTAATATGGAGATATACCTATCTCAAAGAACTGGAAGGGACCTTGAAAGGTCATCAAGTCCAGTCCCCTGCCTTCACTAGCAGGACCAATTTTTGCTCCAGATCCCTAAATGGCCCCCTTAAGGATTGAACTCATAACCCTTGGTTTAGTAGACCAATGCTCAAACCACTTAGCTATCCTTCCCTCTAACACTGACTTGAATGTTAAAGATTGTTATCTGCGGGAAAGAATTAAAATTCACTGAAACTGAAAAGTCATTTCTTGAATGAAAGGCTCTGAGTTGAATCACAATTTCTTTTCCTCTTGCCTTCAGCAAAAGTATGTCTAAAACATTCCAAGCAAAAGAGTTCTTCATTACAAGTTGAAGCAAGCTAGAGCCACCTCTGCCTCACCCTATCCCACATGAACTTGGCACAGCTGAGGACTGAGGCCTCTCAGGGTGTCTACACTGCAGCTGGGAACAAGCCTCCCAGTCGTTTAGTAGTCAGACTAGTGCGAGTGCGGCTCACACTAGTGCTCTATGCTGTAAAGGGCTGTCCATAAATTACACAATGCATTAGGTGGTGGGTGGGTTCTAAATTTTGCATGTTTGATTCTGTGTAACAGAGTATTACAAGGGAGTAGGTGGGTCTTGAAAATCACCAAATAATGCGTTACAGGACAACCCACATGGATGTTACGCCACCGTTGACACGGACTCAGGCTAGCCACTTGAACTTGGACTGAAGGGGCAGGGCTGGTCTGGAGCTTGAGTGGCTAGCCTGAGCCTCCACCAGTGCCACAATGTCCACATAGTTATGTTTAGACTGTCAGCATGAGCCCCACTAGCATGAGTCTGTCTACATGGGCTGGAAGGCCTGCTGCCAGATGCAGTGTAGACATACCCTATATTTTGGAGTTAAATTCACCCACTTACAGAGAGTCTACACAAACCCTCTTGCCACTTAAGGACAGTGTAGCAGCAGGAAGGAGAAGATAGCGTGATCATGCAGGGGGATATGACATATCCAGTCCTAGTAGTTTATGTGGATCCAACGATGAGACCCCTTGTGCAGTTTTGGTCACTATATCATTCTATAAACTGGAACAAACAGCCAGGGAGGAGATGCACTTTCATTAGAGGAAAAAAGAACAATGAGGATAAAAGTGGATCCCACTTTTGGGTGATGTTTAATTAGGAAGGAAGAGCCAGCATTAACTCCAGTTGTACTTTATTTATCTTGACCATTTAACCATGCCTTTTCTAATGTTTATAATAGTAAATAAATAAGTAATAACTATTACTGTAGTTGAACCACAAGTTATAGGCTGGATGCTGGAATTACTGAGTGAATTGATATGGCCTGCACTATACAGGGGGTCCCTTTTGGCCTGAAATCTCTGAATAATAGTAAGAATAATTAATTATGTTACATTTACATAGTGCTTTTCTTTCCCAAAGGTCCCATATTTATACAACTAACCTGTTTTCTTACATTTCTAGACATTAACGGTTCAATTTTTAAAAGCACTCAGCCCTGGCCTAACTCTGCTCCCTCTGAAATCATTGGGTTTCATTGACTTCAATAGGAGCACAATTAGGCTTTTTTGAAACTCTCTCACTGTGTACTAGCGGATGGCCAGAAATATTCTGAAATGAAAGGATACAGAGATCTGAAAGAAGAGTGGGGAGAGGTGGGTATGGCAGAGTTTTGCATTTGTGTTAAATGTAAAGAAGCCTCTGCTGAATTGGTATTAGACGCCTTAGTGGCAGAGCCTAATCAAGATCGTTTAAAGCTCCCCAGCACTGCAGACTGCCTTTTCTTTCATGGAAAAATTAAAGATGTTTTTGTTTCACCTTTCACATCTTTGACTTATTTGTAGGTCTCAGCCTAGGGGAATAACATTTAGTAACATTTGTTTTGACTTAATATTAAATGTTTTATAGATGATCTAGAAATAAGAACTGTTAACTTTTGAGATTTTACAGGTGTTCAGGTGTTGAAAGATACTATAGTGACTGGTACAACATAAATACCTGAGAGATCAGAGAGGTGGAAATTACCTTTTGCATTTATGGTTCTCTAATGGCATCAAAGTAAATCTTTTTACAATATTTTTAGGTTTTGTCATGAAATCTGATGGTGGGTTTTTTTGTGTATGTCAATCTATTTCTTCTTCTCTACCCTCCCACTTCTCCTCCTCTCTCTCTTCTGCCTTCACCTCTTTTTCCTCCTCTTCCTCCTTTCATACCATGGTGCTTTCACCTCCCTGAGGTAGCAGCTAGATATAGGAGTGGGGTTTTTAATGTTATATTTCACCCCTTAATTCTGAACTGATTTTCTCCTTTCATTCAATCCCAGACTCACAAAGCAGCAGCTGTGAACTCTGCACTCACCCTGGGGCTCTTCTGAGTCTGAATAATCAGCCACTAGGGATTGTGAAAGCTCAATGCAAGATGCACCCCAGCTCCTCAAGGGAGGCTAGTACATTGCTTTTATAATGCTCATAAGTGCTAGCTAGCCTGAGGTAGGAGAGCACCCAGATCCCTCCTGAACCCAGTGCTCCCACAAGGCAATGCTCTGTGCAATCCACTGACCTAGACCACATTTTTACTTTTTTATGCAAATAAAACTATTCACTACTTGGCCCTGGATGTCCTACTATCACCTATCATTGCCAGCAACCCGTTTTGCATTGAGAAATCCTGACTTCTGGTGTAAAATCTTAAGACCAGGCAAGATAAGAAGCTACTTTGACTTCATCATTCTCTAAAAGCCACATATCCTGAACCTGTAAACAATCCACTGCATATTTCTGAGCTTTCATCCTTAATGCGTATCATCATTCAACATCAAGGGACAAGGGGCTTTCCCATTAAATCAAAGGCATCCTTGATCATTAATACCAAACAACGGTATCTCTCTCCCCCCACCCCGTGCCCCTCATTTTATAATCCACAGTTCAGAGAAGAGTTCAGCTACTGTGTTATGCATAATGTATATTCAGACTGTCCTGTTATAAATCTGAACTGAGTTCTGAACAGACAGTACCTTCTGGACCATTCCTAAGCTAATCAGATTCTCTAATGCTCAAGGAATCTAATGGGAATTTCCATTAAATGCTGTCTCCAAGGTTTTTTTTAAATTTTATTTAAATTTTATTTTTTGTTTGTTTTTTACAAGCTCAAACAGCCCTAGATGCTAATAAGGTCTACATTAATTTTATGCCCGCATCTGTATTCTTATTAACAATTCATTTTGAATTCATGATTTGTAAATAGTCAGCATTTAGTGGATTTAAATAGCCATGGAATTTAAATGGCCAGTCTTCTCAATTAAAAAATCCCCTTTGGCTACACAGATGTTTTACTTGAACTCTTGAAAATAAGCCTGGCAGAACTAGAATTTGGAGCTTTTTACATTTGCTGTTACCATAAAAAGAAACAAGGGTCAAATACTTGTCAAATATTTTTCCAAGAAAAAAATGTAGCAAAGAAACTAACACTGAATGTTATTCTTTATCAAAGAAATTAAGGGTGATGAGTCCACATTAAACCAGACATAATTAAAGCTGATTTGTCCCTCTACCTCCAGCTACTAAAGTGAACCAACTTTGTAGTTAAATTCAATACAGTGCAGATAGTAATTAACACAAAGTCCATGTCTATACTATTAAAATGACAGAGTTCAAAGCATTGTTAAATGTGTGAACTGGAATGAATCGTGTTATGACTGGACTAAAACAAACAAACAAACAACCCCATGCTTTGCACTAGGGACCTGATTTTTCTCTGTTTTACATAGGTCAAGCCATGTTATCACACAACTGAGCCACAACCAAGTTTAATAAATGCTGTTACACCCTACCGTAGCTTGAGTCTATCTGTCTTGTTTAATTTTGTATGTAGCGTAGATACACATTCCAGGATATTAAAGAGATAAGGTGGGTGAGGTTGGTAATATCTTTTACTGAACCAACTTCTGTTGGTGAGAGAGACAAGCTGTGTCTCTCACCAACAGAAGCTGGTCCAGTAAAAGGTATTATCTCAGCTACCTTGTCTCTCATGTTTAATTTTGCCATTTAAATGGTTAAAAAGCTTTAATTTGATCATTTTTGTAAGAAACATCTTTAAAGAGCCAATGTTTTCTTTTTCCAGACTATTTTTGTCCATGTCAAATGTTTTTATTGTTAATTTGTTTGGTTCTATTTTGCTTAGAAAGATAAACAGATGATGCAAATATATTAATCCCTATCACAATGAAGAGAAAAAAAAACACATAATACCCTAAGATTTGTCTCCTCACCATCTAGGATCTTGTCTTGTTCTGTAAAGCACTGTGTACATTTATATTGCTATATCAATAATATTTAATGAAAATATAACCTATCAAAGCCTTTTACACCACTGATCTAATTCAGTGTTTCATCATTGCATGAGTTAAACTAGCCACGAGAGGGAGCCTCTGGTGTCTCATTAATGTAATAGAAATTTATCTGGCAAAGAAAAAGTTAGTTACAAATTTTATAAAAGGGCTAGAAATTTGGAGTGCACTTCCTGGTTTAAAACATGCTCTCTATATAGGAGGTAACAAAAAGTAATGGAAATCACACTTTATGTTTTACAGCTTCAACACAAATGAGTTATTATATTGACACTTTTTAGCTATGTATTTTCCTATAATAAGTCTACCTATTAACATTTGATTTTTACGTGATGGTGAAATAAAACAGATCTGTACAAAGCCTGTAAAACTCTTATTAACATTTGGAATTTTAATGGCACTACCCATTTCTCATAAAGGAAGAAAAACTGTGACATATGGAGTTAGAGATAAAAATGAGTTCTGATGATATTGGTAACCATGAGAACTGAACTCAGGTGGCTTGTAATATCAGAACTGTGAAATGTCAACACAGATATATAGCTTTATATCGTAGTTTGGTTTTGTTCTTTATATTCAATAGATAAGAGTAAAATAGTTGCACATTTGTATGTTGTATGTATTCATCAAATTTCAATTTATTTCCTCTGCACCCCTGATGAATAAATCCTTCCAGTCACAAGTTATTAAAGTAATTTTGCACATTTAAAAAAAATCTTTTAAAGTGTGGTACAACCCTCTTAAAAGAAAGTCTTTTTTTCTCCACAGAGCTTCACTTTAAGGGAAAGCTCTCTAGAATTAGAACTGCAATCTACACAAGGTGATGCATTGAAACAATTCAGGACCTACCCTCAACTTACCTATAAGCAAAGTTTCATTATATGTTTTCACTGGGGGTCAAGATCTCCCCTCCTTACACAAAGCATGAGTAATACTCTTTGTGTGGGGAGCTAAACAGAGACAAGAAGCAGCTGTTCCATTCTGTGGGCAAAGTAAATGTTACTGCCCCTTTGCCGTCCATGCCCAGGGGTCTGGTACCACTGGATGTGGCTAAGTGTTATTTCTTGGTCCTGCTGTACCAGCATATTTTAAACCAACCTAAAACCCCACTGGTATACAAGAATGCAGAGACCCCCAACATAACCCCACTACCAGGCGTAAGCATGTAGAGGATCCTCTACATCTGGATTTGTTGGATGCTATATGTGGGTTCAACTGTATTTATTCCCCCCACCCAACCAAGTTTTTAAAGTATTGGAGCTCTTGGTAGAAAAGTCTGACTCCACCATTTTTATTAGTTTACATTTTGAAATCAATAGTTAATTTTGTGTTAACTATTTCCCAGCCTCTTGGGTGCCAGAGCTTGGACTGCATCTACTGGTGACATGGAGATGCAATGTCCCAGCGAAGGCCTGGATCTGTATTAGAAACATTTCGTTATTTTTATGGCATAAATCTATAAATCGTTATGAGGGGAAATAAATTCAGCAATTTGATGTTTCACACAGTTCCAATAGTTCTGGCTTAACATGGAAGGTAACTAAAACTTGTATTATGAGACTGTAGCTGTGCAAGTGTTAGAGCGCATGACCTTGCTCCCATATTAAGCCACAAGCATCCTGGGATGGACAATTCATCCATTTTAGCCAGGCAACTAGGCTATGGTAGTAGTCACGCTACTCTCTTGAGTACTGTCCCGGGCCTCCCAGCTGGTCTCCGGGCACTCTTCAACATGCTTTCCAACCCTTCTGCTCTGCCATGGATCCTCTGGCACTTTCCTTTAGATACCTGGGAGCCCCACCCTGCCTTTGACTTTCTCTAGTCCCAAGTTATGCTGGACATTAATGCTACCAAGAATAATACTCCTGGAATCTCTCTAAACCCTGACTATGCACAGAGTAAAAAATAATCAATACAATGTTTTCATTAGTTCACAAGAAAATTAATTTTAGGAACTGGCAACTTCACTGTTCAGTGGATGGCTGAAGATATGCACGGCATTGCCTAGCAACACCACTGTATCACGGAAATCTTGACAGCAGGTTATAATAAATCCCTGACTGCTGCTTACAAATGGTAATTTGAAGTGAAGCTGTTAGTGGCTGGTCTAATCTGGAACAGTATTTCATAGATTTTTTTTTTGGCTAAATTAAATTGTGTGGGAATTTCACAAAGAGCAACCCTCACATACTATAGTAAAATAAAATGTCACTTGTAGATCTTCACTTGCTGTACAAAGGTGGGGAACGTTATTATGCCCATTATAGAATTAGGGCCACAAAAAGGTCTAGTGACTTGCTCAAGCTCACATATTGAGTCAGTGGCAGAGTTTCTAATAGAACTCACATCTTCTTACTTCCAGCCTCATGCTCAAACCACTACACCAATGGAGGGGGACCACAAAGTGGACTATTCCTAGAAGTCACGCTAATGCGAGATTAAACCAAGTAAACTTCAATAAAGTTACAGAGAGTCCTGTGGCACCTTTAAGACTAACAGATGTATTGGAGCATAAGCTTTCGTGGGTGAATATCCACTTCGTCTAACGAAGTGGGTATTCACCCACGAAAGCTTATGCTCCAACACATCTGTTAGTCTTAAAGGTGCCACAGGACTTTCTGTTGCTTTTTACAGATTCAGACTAACACAGCTACCCCTCTGATACTTCAGTAAAGTTGCCATTCCTGAACAGCTTACAAAGAAGTAATAATAATTAGGTCAGAATTATTTTTCCTGGTGCAAAATACATTACAGTGGTCTTTGATTTCATGTCAAAGTGTGGATATGCTCACTTACGATCGAGATCTGTGCCTGGATCGCCTGTAGTTGGGATCAGCCTGGTTTTTCTCTTTTTGTTGCCTCAGTACTGCTTCCCACTGAGGAGCTGAATCCACCATGTCATTCTCCTGCCGTAACCTGCATAAAGAGCAACACACCTAGAGTAAACATCTGGAGGATCAATGCTTTGGCATTGGGTGTGTTTTGCAGTATTTTCTGAGGGAATCCTGGTGTTATTCAAACTGCTATCTGGGTGGGGCAAGCCAGGGCACAGATCACCCCAATAATCAGCAGGGGCACTGAACTCCTTTGGCCCTGGGGCTGCGGTGGGGGCATAAAATGTGCTCCTCCAAAAGCCGACAAATTTTTATTCCTGCACACACCCCTACTGCTATCTTAAAAAGAGCTGATCAGCAAGCTTGGTTACAACCACATTTACATAAGATTTATAACTTTCCTTTTACTTTCCTTTTTTCCTAAAACCATTACAAAAACAAGAGCTTGTATCAAAGAAAACAAAATTTATTTAGAAATTAAAAAAAAAATTCAGTTTGTACAAGAGGAAAATCAATCCAAACCAGTAAAACATGGCCTCCAACTTGAATTAGACTAACTTCCTAAACTAAGCCGAAAGCACTCCATAGAGCTGTATGCTGATTTTATTTTGCTTTTCAAATCCACAGACTTTTAGTATAAGTCTGGTATTGCAGTTCACGTTTCTGCAATTGTTTCTAAATACTCGGGGCCAACTTGCTCCCTTCTGTGGCAAAACCACTAACAGGGGCCTAAGGAGTAGGAAGAGTCCACATGGATCTCCTTGCAGAGTACCTGCTCAAAAACAGTGTGCAGGATCAAACCGTAAAGGCTGAAACTCCCTCAGGATCTGGGTAGATTCCAGGGAAGCGGAGGAGTCCAGGACTATTTTCACCAGCTCCATGAAGCTCATTACAGCTATGGCTGCAGACCTGGCAGTACGGCTCTAATGAAGCCAGGCGACCAGGGCCTCCCTTGCCCACAGCTGTGTTGAGACCTCTCCAACCTACCCATTTCACCCCAAACCTGCCAAGTCCCTGCTGCATCCCCCCTGCAAGGCACTTGGATTCACATGGGACACATTATATGGGATCCAGAAGTGTGAGGGACACTGCCATGGATGCTGCTCAGTCTCCCTTGCATGCAGGAGGCAGATCTATGCACAGAGGGTTACCTACATGTATGAATCCAAGGGACAAAAATGAAAAGAGTCTAGTAAATGTCCTGAGGGTTTCCTAGAGAATGACACTGTGAAGTCAAGTACCTGTTGTTTGTAAGAACAATGCGTAAGAGGTTCAGAGTGCCTAGTTACTACAGCAACTGATGCTTTAGAGATAGATGGAATGGATTGCTGTAAGTGAGGAGGTGAAAAATAGTCTAGGTACTCGGAAGTATCCAATCTAGAACACGTTCTGAGAAGATATTCTATTTGGAAATTTAAATATCTGTTGTTTAAAATGAACAGTAATAATTCTTTCAAATTGATTTCACTGATCTCTAATGCCTAACCCTTATTCTAATAATGCCCAAAATAGATCAGTGTAAAATGAGATATAATCTAATGTAATAAATGAGAAATGTATCAATGGGAAAGTGCTTAAAGGCAGAAACCCATATACAGTGCACTAGCATAGCTAGTGTTTATCCTTTTTTGATAGGGTTTAAAAGCAAATCCCCTGTATCCTTCTGTATCCCTAAAAATGTCCAAATTCTCTATGAAGAGGTTCCAGTGCCAATTCAACGCACTTATTTTCAAATGCGATATGTTTTTAAAAAAATGACAGATCCGTTAATCAGTCCATGATTCACAGCTAGTGCAGACTGAAATGAATCTCAGCAATGAATTATACGCTCTGCATCTCTAATAACAAACTGATCGTATTTCAGGGTGATCGTAGACTCATAGAATATCAGAGTTGGAAGGGACCTCAGGAGGTCATCTAGTCCAACCCCCTGCTCAAAGCAGGACCAATTCCCAACTAAATCATCCCAGCCAGGGCTTTGTCAAGCCTGACCTTAAAAACCTCTAAGGAAAGAGATTCCACCACCTCCCTAGGTAACCCATTCCAGTGCTACAACACCCTCCTAGTGAAAAAGTTTTTCCTAATATCCAACCTAAACCTCCCCCACTGCAACTTGAGACCATTACTCCTTGTTCTGTCATTAGGAACCACTGAGAACAGTATAGATCCATCCTCTCTGGAACCCCCTTTCAGGTAGTTGAAAGCAGCTATCAAATCCCCCCTCATTCTTCTCTTATGAAGACTAAACAATCCCAGTTCCCTCAGCCTCTCCTCATAAGTCATGTGCTCCAGCCCCCTAATCATTTTGTTGCCCTCCACTGGACTCTTTCCAATTTTTCCACATCCTTCTTGTAGTGTGGGGTCCAAAACTGGACACAGTACTCCAGATGAGGCCTCACCAATGTCGAATAGAGGGGAATGATCACGTCCCTCGATCTGCTGGCCATGCCCCTACTTATACAGCCCAAAATGCCGTTAGCCTTCTTGGCAACAAGAGCACACTGTTGACTCATATCCAGCTTCTTGTCCACTGTAACCCCTAGGTCCTTTTCTGCAGAACTGCTTCCTAGCCATTCGGTCCCTAGTCTGTAACGGTGCATGGGATTCTTCCGTCCTAAGTGCAGGACTCTGCACTTGTCCTTGTTGAACCTCATCAGGTTTTTTTCGGCCCAATCCTCTAATTTGTCTAGGTCCCTCTGTATCCGATCCCTACCCTCTAGTGTATCTACCACGCCTTCTAGTTTAGTGTCATCTGCAAACTTGCTGAGAGTGCAGTCCACACCATCCTCCAGATCATTAATAAAGATCATTGATGTGATGAAACTGTCATTGATGTGATGAAACTGTC